AACCTCTCAGTTCCCTGCAGCACCGCCGCATGCCAGGGTACTCCCCCCTCTACCTTCGCGGCTTCCGTCCACTTTAACTTCGGTGCCGTGTCTTTCGGTACTGGGATCCCGAGACAACATGGAACGGTTTTCGTAGATCCGTGGTCGGCCCCGAACGCCTTCAGGTCGTCGAGCACACACTTCGGCCAGTTCTGTTCCTGTCCCCCCCTACGTCGCTTCTCCCCCCCTGCCAGTTCGNCGCTTCCGTCTTCCCCTCCTCCAAGCACAACAGGCTGCGCAGAACAACATCATCCTCGCTGAATCGGATGACAACGACCTCAAGGACCTCGGCGAAGAAAATGTTGAACAGCAGTGGGGATAGCACACATCCTTGTCGCACGCCCTGTGTCACGAAAAACCAGTCCGATAGGTCTCCGTCGTCCATGCGCACCCGGGCCCGCATTCCATCGTGGAATTGGCGGATGACTTCGATCAGCTTCGCGGGAATCCCGGCCCTGGCCAGCATCTCTCGGTCCACCGAATCATACGCCTTGTTCCAGTCGACAAAGCACATGTAGAGCGGTGTTTTCTTTCTCCGCCCCAGCTCCTGGAGGCGGCGCACGACGGACAGCATGTCGACGGTGGATCGCCCGGGTCGAAATCCGCACTGTTCCTCCAGGAGGATGTTGTTGGCTTCGCAGAAGGCGCTTAGACGGTTGGTGATGATCTTGATGAGAACCTTGCCTACGTGAGATAGAAGCGAAATCCCCCTGTAGTTGTTACAGTTGGACCGGTCACCCTTCTTGTACAGCACCTTGATGGTTGCACCCTTCCACTCTCGCGGAATATCTCCTCCGTTCCACACCTTGACGAGGATGGTATGGAGGTATCCCAGGACGAAGGGTTCGTTGTCATCGATCTTGAGCAACTCGGCAGGGAGGGAGGGATTCATGGCCGGGTGCCTTCCAGTTCTTGAGGCCTTTCGTTTCCCGTGCCACCTCCTCGAGTTCTGGCACATCTCCCAACCGTTGAGTGTCACATGTCGCTGGCCGCTGCGTCACTCGGTCGATTATGTCTGGGTTCAGGGTGGGGGATTTGGTGTTGTATGTCATGTTCGTAGATCTCCCCCATTCGATTGATTCACCGAACAACCAAACTCCTCCTCTTCTTGCTTCAGCACCCCACAGGTCGTCAACAATGACGCACCCCATACGACGCGAAGAGTCACGTTCAGGTGGACGATGCAGGTGGCCGGTTTGCACCGCAATCGACTGCTTGAAGGATACATACATCTATCTCTCGAGAACCATGCGTGGAGCGTTGGTTTGTCGGGCGTTTTTGCTAGGCAGGGCGGGGCAGAGCAGATTTTACATCCTCAGGAACGTGCACCAACGACCAGTATCATGGGTTTTTGTGCACAATTTACTACGGCCCGTTCCAACCATTGGCCTCCATTGTACTTCTGTTTGGACGGGATACATACATACACTATACGCCGCCGACAGCAATAATAGTCTACACTACGCCGCGGACAACAATTAGTCTATACCGAGTGGACGCACAAAAAAATCTGCAGTAGGTGCTGACGGAGAACCATATAAAGGTAGAGCAGATAGTACACACACAATACGCAGAGCAACACCCCCACGTCAAATACTACGCGCCCCAGGGCCGTTATTTTTTTCTCTCAGACTGTCGACCACAGCCAGCCGCCGCTACTCTGCAACAACGGAATATTTGTTTTTCTCCTTCCAGACTGTCACCACAAAGTTATGAGGTTAGCTCACCAACCCTCGTAGTACCTCTCTAAGGTTCTCAACTGCTGTTCTGACGGAAACATGCATGCCCAGCACGACTGACTGCCAACCATGATGCGTGTAAAGGTTACACGCCCTGCTGACCTCCTCTATTCTCACACACTTCAGATTGCAGGCATCATGTTCGCCCGGCAACAACGAAACATGGAAAGACCCCGGATACATGCAGACATGGGCATTTGCATTTGAATAGCAATACATGTGTTAAGTGGGGCTAGTAACCATGGTTGCTATAGCAGGCAGGCGTAACCAGTCTGACGTATCCATCCGTGGTCCAGGCAAGAACGCAGAAAGGAGGTATTTTGTATGCAGGGAGACGGAGAAACGAATAGAACAAGCCGAAGATGTGCAGCCCACCCTCTGTGTCGGTGTCGAGCTGACTGCTTTCTGTCTGTCTCGCCTGTTGCTGTGTGTGTGTGAAGAGAAATACCTCTCGTTGGTGGTGCGTACTTGTCGCTGGGAGGCTAGTTCCCGTACTCACAGGAGTTACCGTGGTGGGCGGTTAATGGGCGGTTAGCACCCAAATATTACCGTGCATTACCGTGCTGGCCAGTAACCACCCAAACATTACCGTGTATCACCGTATTCGGTGGTTCCCGTACCAGTCGTTACCGAACCGAGAAATCGTTATGGCGAGGAACCTTGAAATGTTCCCACCGCCGCTTCCGTTTTCAAGCAGAACAGCTTCCGCCTCGGGAAAAAGAGAGAGAAAAAGGCTTCAGTTAAGGCCGGGGCTACCCCCGGGCTGTTATGTTGATATATTTTGTGGAGATAAGACATATGGGCGATTTCGGCTGCTGCTTGTGGTTGGCGTGAATCGAATGGTGTAGACCGACCGTGACCACCCTAGTGCAGATCAGATATCATAGCCTCTTACTGTATACCTGAAG